AACAGGCAGTTGCAGAGGTGAGATGACTCAGTGAGCAAAGAAGCTTGCTACCAAGCCTGACGGCCTTGAGTTCAAATCCTGGGACTCACACGGGGGAAGGACAGAACCAATTTCTAAAAGTTGTTCTCTGACTTCCACTTGGACTCTGCAGTATATGTGTATACCCCTCCCCCAAACACACACAATAAATATTTTTAACGTAATGAAAACAATTTAATTATTTTAAGGTTTTTGTTTTTCTTTTTCAGTTTTTTTGGGTGGGGGTTGTTTGTTTTTTTGTTTTGTTTTTGTTTTTGTTTTTTGTCTTTTTGAGACAGGGTCTCCCAGTAGCCCCAGCTGGCCTGGAACTCACTATGTAGACCAGGCTGGCCTTGAACTCACAGAGATGCACACCTGCCTCTGCCTCCTGAGTACTGGGACTATAGGCATGCACCACCATGCCCGGCTATTTTAAGTTTTTTTGAGACAAGGTCTCACTGTGTAACCCTAGTTGACCTGGAATGCTCTATGTAGTCCAAGCTAGCCTTGAACTCACAGAGATGTGCACCTGCTCTGCCTCCTGAGTACTGGGACTATAGGCATGCACCACCATGCCCGGCTATTTTAAGTTCTTTTGAGACAAGGTCTCACTGTGTAACCCTAGTTGACTGGAACGCTCTATGTAGTCCAGGCTGGCCTTGCACTCATAGAAATCTGCTTGCCACTGCTTCCCGAGGGCTGGGATTAAAGTCATGCCTAATTTGTTTTATTTTTTTTTAATTTTTTAAAATATTTTTTTAATATTTTATTTATTATTTTTATTTATGTGTATGCGTGTATTGCCTGCATGTAGGTAAGTGCACCTGTGCCGTGCGACGCCCACAGAGGAAAGAAGAGGCTGTCAGATCCCCTGGAACTGGAGTTACGGACAGTTGTTAGCTGCCATGTGGGTGCATTGGCCTTTGAACCCAGGTCTTCTGCAAGAACCACTGAGCCATCTCTCCAGCCCCTAATTTTTATTTATTTATTTATTTATTTATTTATTTATTTTTGGTCTTTTTGAGACAGGGTCTTCCTGTAGCCCCAGCTGACCTGGAACTCACTATGTAGACCAGGCTGGTCTCGAACTCACAGAGATCCACCTGCCTCTGCCTCCCATTTTTTATTTTTTAGGCAGGCAGCATTCTAGATGGGCAGAGCAGAACTGGACGCACACTTGAATTACACTACAAATGCCTGCTTTTGCTCCTTACCCCCTTTCCCTCACCTTCCTAGTCCATCTGTTTCCCAAAGCTGTTTTCATTTGTTAAGATGAATTTAGGCTGAAGAGATGGCTCAGTGGTTAAGAACACTGGCTGCTCTTGCAGAAGTCCCAGGTTCGATTCCCAGCATCCACATGGCAGCTAACAACCATCCATAACTCCAGTTCCAGGGGATCCAACACCTTCTTCTGGCTCCTGCAGGCACTACACAACACAGGTGCACTTCCATACATACAGGCATAACACCCATATTATATATTTAAAATAAATAAATAAATAAAATAAATAAATAAATAAATAAGGGATTTGAACTCAAAAAAACATGCCTTTTGGCTAGCAAGATGGCTCAGAGGATAAAGGGACATCCTGCCAAGTCCCGTGACCTAAGTTCGATTCCCAGAACTCACAGGGTAGAAGGAGGGGACTGACTCTTACAAGTTGCCCTCTGACCTACACACATGCTCTGTAGCATGCTGTGCCCATAAATGCACATATAAATAAAAGTAATAATTTTTAAAATGTCTTTTTAATCTTTATTTTATGTGTATGAGTGTTATGCCTGCATGTGTGTAAGTGCACCCATACCATGTGCCCACAGAGGACAGAAAAGGGCATTAGATCCCCTGGAACTTGAGTTACAGACAGTTGTTAGCCACCATGTAGGTGCTGGGATTTGAACCCAGGTCTTCTATAAGAACAGCCAATGCTCTTAATCACTGAGCCATCTCTTCAGCCCCCTAAAATGTCTTTTAATAAAACCAAACTCTGCTTGAAAGAAGAAAGAAAGAAAGAAAGAAAGAAAGAAAGAAAGAAAGAAAGAAAGAAAGAAAGGGCTCAGGTGTGATGGTGCATGCCTTTAATCCCAGCACTCAGAAGCCAGAAGCAGGCAAATCTTTGTGAGATCAAGTCCAGCCTGGTCTACATAGCAAGTTCCAGGCCACCTGGGGCTACAGGGAAACCCTGTCTCAAAAAGACAAAAAAAAAAAAATTAAAGAGAAAGAAAAATGAAATGATAGCAGTTGGGTGTTCACTTCTCTTCAGCTGTTTGCTAGCTACTTCATGGGAAGACCATTCGTGTTTGTCTCCCAGTGTAACTCTGGCTCCCTCAGTAGGTTGTGGTACATAGCAGATACTTAATAAAGTGATCTTAGATGAAGTAAAATAACTGAGCAAGGTTTCAGTTACTTTAGAGTTTCTATCTTGGCCCTTTTCTCTCTTCTAGCTCTCCCTTTACAAGACCCCAGAGAAAGGAGCTGTGTATTGTCTCAGGGTCAGCATAAATCTCCCAACCACTAATGGACCTTGGGCTATGGTTCAGAGACAATACAACATAGACAGACGCCGGGACAAAGAACCATTACCCATTAGCGACAACACTTTAGGAAACACGAGTTGTTGTGGTAAAAGCATGCATTGGTTGAAAGCTATAAGACAGTAAACAAACTCAGCAGAAGTTGAGATCTCACTTGAGCATGCTCTGGAGGGCACACAATTCTACATTTGACTGAAGTTAAGTTTGTTATCAGTTATTTGTTTTGCCTTTTCTCAACTCTGCCTCCAGTTGAAACACCAGTGGGTTTAAAAGCTGGCAAAACAACATACCTCCAATCCCTTCTAAATCCACTACAAAGAGCAAAATCCTTTAATACGTGTCACAGGTAAAATACAGTGTCCAGGCAGAGAAAATGCCTGTTATCTAGTGCAAAAGCTCTGTTTGTAGTATAAGTTCTTGGACAGAAGCATTAGAAGTGATTGCCCAACACACCTTCAAAGTGCCTCTGACGAGACACCTTGAGCTGCCAATCACCAGACACAACTTCCAAGAACTGAAATCACATTTAGTCAGCTCCTCTCTCTCCCATCCTACACACTCTACGTTTTCATCTTTGAAGAACCAAAGAACAGGGGTAAGTAAGAGCAGACGCTGCGGCTATTTTGAGCAACACAAGGATTCAAAAGTCAGGAGCAACTTCCACTAACATAGTAACAGATCTCCAAGGAAACCCTGGGTGAGTTGCGGAGAAAGCACCTTCTCCAGAACTCAGTAAAGAGACAGCTCTGTTTCCATTACATCCATGGTTTTCTTCCTGCCAGTGGAGTTGCGTGTCTATAACAGTCCCTGGTTCATCTCGAAGCCAGGGAAACATTTCCAGAGAGCCTGCAGGAAGAGATAGCTCGGTGATCTGGTCCAACCAGCAAGAGAAGCAAGTTTCCAATGTGTGAATCAAATCTCACAAGTACCAAGCACTAAGTCTCAAATGTATATAGACTCGGGATCTCCCCAATTATCTCACCAGTGTCTTTGCATGGGCTCCTTTATTTCTCTTTGATTTGCTTCTCCAACACACACACACACACACACACACACACACACACACAGAGTCTGACCCTTGCAAGTCTCACACAACTAGAGTTCACATACTCCCATTGCCTCAAGTGTACTGAGAATGGAGTTCCCTGACTTTCCCATCTTTCCATGGGTCTGTCCATCACTAGGCTAGCCAACTTCTTTTAAAAAAAGAAAGAAAGAAAGAAAGAAAGAAAGAAAGAAAGAAAGAAAGAAAGAAAGAAAGAAAGAAAGAAAGAAAAGAAAGAGTCTCTCTGTAGCCCCAACTGGCCTGGAATTCTCTATGCAGACCAGGATAACCTCCATCTCACAGACATCAGCCTGCCTCTGCCTTCTGAGTGCTGGGATTAAAGATGTGTGACACGATGGCAGATAACTGCCAACTTCTTTTTAGGGATAAGGTCTCCCTATGTACCTGACTAGCCTGGAACTCACTATGTAGCCCACACTGGCCTCAAACTTAAGACTTGCCTGCCTCAGCCTCCAGGAGTGCTGAGGATTACAGACCTGAATCACCAAGACTTGCCAGCTTTGAAGGACAGGAAGGAAACTTCAAATAGCACTCGAATTCGAAAATAATAATAATAGTCGTGATACCAAACTGTCCATTTGGAAAAGCTGATTTGTTTTTTCTTCTGAGGAAACTTCCATGTTCTAATTGAAGGCTGCAAGTCATCTACTGGAGAAGGGGTATGCACTGCACTCAGGAGGAACTCCGAGGGTGACAAGTGGCAGGCTCTTTTTTTGGTGGCAGTGCTGTTTGTTTTTTGTTTGGTTTTGGTTTCATATATATATAACATATATATAACATATATAAGATATGTTTTATATATATATATGTTTCATATATATATAACACCAAAGTTTAACAAGAACTACGTGTTAAACTGTGGTGGACCAGACGTGCTAAAAAGCTTTCTCCACCCGGCACAAAGCACGCCCTCTCTGCCTGCCTCTCTCAGCCTTTCTTCGGGGGTGCGTGAAACCACTGGCAGGCACGACACTAGAACCAACCAGAGCACTCCCGTCCCCACTATATGTTTCATATATATATAACACCAAAGTTTAACAAGAACTACGTGTTAAACTGTGGTGGACCAGACGTGCTAAAAAGCTTTCTCCACCCGGCACAAAGCACGCCCTCTCTGCCTGCCTCTCTCAGCCTTTCTTCGGGGGTGCGTGAAACCACTGGCAGGCACGACACTAGAACCAACCAGAGCACTCCCGTCCCCACTCCAGATCCCTCCAGCTTCCATCACCAGAGGCAAACCCCGGCGCCGGCCTCCCTCCTGCCGCTGCGGTGCGGCCCCTCCGAGCCGGCCAGGGCGCAGCAAGGGCGCGGTGCCCAGGCAGGTCCCCGTCGCAAGTGGCACACACTGGTCCACACCCGGAACCGGCGGCGGGCTCGTTACCTGTTCTGCCAGCCCTGGAGGAGGTTGGTGTATTTGCTGAGCACGCCCTCGAGCGCAGGCTCCCTCCTGCGGCCGCCGCCTCCGGATGGACTCGCGGCCACCGAGCCCGGACTGCTGCGGCTGCCTCCGCCACCCAGTCCAGCCGCCGACCGGCCGGCCACCCCTCGGCCCGCCAGGGAGCAGGAGGGCGACGAGCCCGCCGAGGTGGCGCGGCTGCTGCTGCGGCTGCTGCTGTTGCTGCCCCCGCCGCCGCTGCTGTCTGCGCTCTGGGTCGCCCTCTCCATGATCGCCGCGCGCCCGGGACGCGATGGCCGCCGCGGTGGCAGCCCCGCTGCTGCTGTTTCTGCTGCTACTGCAGCTGTTGCTGCCGCTTGCTGCTGCTGCTGCTACTGCTGCTGCTCCAGCTCCGGGCTCCCGGGCCGCGCGTGGCTGCTCCTATTCCCGGGGAAAAGCCTGATTCATACAGGAGGAAGAGGAAAAGGAGGAGGAGGGAAGGAGGGCTGGGAAGGAGGCCAGCCAGGCTGGATGCAGCCGCGGCCGCCCCTCCTCCCGCCGCCACCAGGGCCGGGCCCCGCCCTCCCGCCACTTCCCGGGCAAGTTCGGAGCTCCACGTCCCTCCTCCTCCTGCTTTGGGTCCCCAGCGTTGGCTCCGGCGGGACCCGGGATGCTCCCCGGGCTGGCCCGCTAGCTGGGCGGGCACGCCCTAGATAGGCGTCCTGCACCCTCGCCTTCCTTCTGTCGCCCCCACTTGGATCCAGGGGGGATGAGAAGGGAGTCTCTAAGCCCCACTCCCTTCACCCCCCAACCCTCGTCGCGACCTAGAGGGAGGGCCGGCCCTAACCACCCGGTCCACCCGGATATGGACCCGCCCGGTCCCTGAAACCAGCACGCACAGGAGCCTGGGCCAGGCACGCACACAGCCACCTGGAAATTAGCCTCACTGGAGGAACACAAGAACTGGGGGGGCCCTCCTGCCTCTCCTGCAGGTTTGGAGAAGGAAGGGAAAGGAAGAGCCAATGTCTCTCCCAGGTGAGCCCAGCGCACGCCCGGGGCGTTTCCACTTATCGGATGTATTTGTAGCGGACACCAGGGCTGGTTCCTGCAAGTGAATGTTCACACACTCACTTAACACTAATACCCGGAGCTGATGGGCACCGACCCATTGTGCTACAGCACCCAGAGTCTGAGAGCCAGAGGGGCCAAAACCAGAAGGCAAATGAGAAGACCAGCGTTGACAAACACGGGCCTCCTCTATTGGCTGAAACTTTTCCCCCTACCTCGACACACTGGGCACTTAATCCAACAGTGTTGTTCTTTGGTAAAAGCAGACGCTTATACTCTCTCACTCTCTGATTATCTCTGTGAATATAAATATTCTATGCAATCTGGATGTCTCTAAAATTAATAAGCTTTGAAGAATTTTCTCTTCTCTCTCTCTCTCTCTCTCTCTCTCTCTCTCTCTCTCTCTCTCCCCCCCCCAAGGGTGATAGATGAGAGATGATAGACAACCCCATAGACCAATGATAGACAACCCCCTAGACCAGTTAAATAATTCAATATCTTTTAAAAAAAAAAAAAGTTAGATGGAGCATGTGTGGTGTCGCGGGTTTTCAATCCCAGCACTAGGGAGGCAGAAGCAGGTGGATCTCTGTGAGATCGAGACCACCCTGGTCTACATAGTAAGTTCCAGGCCAGCTTGGGCTATAGGGAGACCCTGTCTTTAAAAAATATTGCTAGATGGGGGGACTGCAAGATGACTCAGCTGGTTAAGGCACTTGCAGTCAAGCCTGAAGACCCCAGTTCCACAAGGTAGAAGGAAAGAACCCACTGGGTCCTCCAACCTCCACAGGGCACAATGGCATGCACACATACATGCACATGATCAGATAGATAGATGATTGATAGATAGATGATAGATGGATATATAGATAGGTAGGTAGATAGATAGATAGATAGATCGATAGGATGATATAGATGATAGATATAGAATGATAGATATTAGATGATTGATGATAGATAGATGATAGATAGATAGATAGATAGATAGATAGATAGATAGATAGATAGATAGATAAATTGCTAGTAGAATATAGTTAGTTCTCAATGGGGCAATTCCCCCCCGTCTGAGTACTTTCCAGGTTCATGTCTGTCAAGGAAAATTTCAGAGGGCTCAGCTCTAGAGAGTCTCATGCAGAAGTTTCTGGAGCTAATGAGAAGTGGCTGTGCCACCAAATACATCAGAATTCCAGATAGCTACAAAGCATGAAAAAAGAAGGGAAAAAAAAGTTTTCCAAGAAAATAATGACATGAACCAGCATTGAAACCAGACAGAACTGAAGGGTTTTGCTTAGTTGATTGGGGTGTGTGTGTGTGTGTGTGTGTGTGTGTGTGTGTGTGTGTGTATGTTTACTGAGACATAATTTCATATGGCCCAGGCTAGCCTTAAACTTTCTATATAACCAAGACTGCCTCTGCCTCCCAAGTTCTGGGATCACAAGAGTGTATCATCATGCCCAAATGAGTTTTAGCCAATGACCTTGACCAAGTTCCTATTTTTACTTTTTAAATTTTATTTATTGTGTGTATTCATGTGCACATGTGAGTGCCACTATGCACATGTGAAGATCAGAGGACAATTTGGAGGAGTCGATTCTCTTCTTCCACCATATGGGTTCTGGGGCTTGAACTTGGGTCGTCATGGCAAGTGCCTTTACCTGCTGAGCCATCTCTCAGGCCCTCAAGTTACTTTTTAGTTTTCTTACCCTCGATGTAGGATTAATAATAATGACTCTGGTAGATTTGGAAAGACTATTTGTTCAAAATGTCTACTGCCTCTTCCCATAAGAGGAGCATTGCCCTCAGGCCAACCCTGGAATTACTCACAAAAGTAGACTACAAACTGGCTGGGGAGACCCGGGCTCGAATCCTAGCACCCACATGGCAGCTAACAACTGGCCGTAACTCCAGTTCCAGGGGATCCGACAGTCTCTTCTGTCTTCCACGGGCATTGCACGACACGGGCGCACTTACCTACATGCAGGCAATACACGCATACACATAAAATAAAAATAAATATTAAATAATTTTTTTTAAGTAGACTACAAACAGAAGCAACGCATGCCATTTCCAAACATGAGCTCTAAGAGGCCCCATGCAGTTCCACCATTGCTCTCTTTTCCTTGTGGCTCATAGATAAGGACTTCTGAAGCCTGGGTCCTGAAGGGGGAAAGCATGCGGTCTACAGCAGAACCAAGCCCTGTTAGCATTGCCATGTGACATGAGCAAAATGTTTGTTTTCGAGGCTAGACAGACGTCTCAGTGGTTAAGAGCGCTTGCTAGTCTCCCAGAGGACCTCAGTTCTGTTCCCGGCACCCGTGTTAGGCAGCACAACCACCTATAACTCCAATGCTAGGGGATCTGGCATCTTCTTCTGGTCTACTAGGGCAACTGCACTCACATGTACAAAATAAATAAATAAATAAATAAATAAATAAATAAATAAATAAATAAATAAATAAATAAATAGAAATCATTGCGGGGGTGTGTGTTTGTTTTAAGCCACAGAGATTTTAGTGACATTCCTTGTCAAAGCATTTTCCTAAACCACCAGATCCACTGATCAATATGTGAGTATCATACCACCTGAGCAGGTGAAAGCATACTGAACAGTAAATGTCAGTCTATTCTTTTTACTGGACTATCATCTGAAATCCCTGCTGAGGAAAGAGAAGTGTCATTTTATTTCATATTACCTAACCTGTATCACCATCATCTCACCCAGCCAGCCAATTCATGATTAGATGAGCTTGCACAGCAAATTCTCACCTCTACCTGAGACCCTTGAGACAGTCCATTTCAAGGAGCGAAAGCTAAAATGAAGAAAATACTCAAAGGCTAGAACATAGTTCAGTTGATAAAATGCTTGCTTAGTATGCATGAAGCCCTGGGTTCAATCCCCAGCACCACATAAACCAGGTGTAGTGGTGCACACCTGTAATCTCAGCACTAGGTGGAGGCAGGAGGTTCAGAAGTTCAGGATCATCCATAGTTGCACAGCCAGTCCAAGGCCAGCTTGGGCAATATATTGTCCTGACTCAAAGGCCAGGATGAGCCAGGAGCAAACCAGGTGTGTGGGATCAAACATGAACCAAGAAGTGGGTCTGTAGCAACTGATGTGCTAGGAAAAGATACCCAGAAAGTACCAAGAAGTGCATACTGTTCCCTCTGCTGTCAATGCCCTTCACTGTTCTCCCCCCAGCCTTCTGGATTAGAAGTCACTTCTTCAGGGAGGCTTTCCTCAACCTACCCCAGCACAGCAAGTGTCAAAAAAAGTACCTGAAGAATTCTGTTTGCAGAGAAAAAAAATCAATATCTTTGTGTTAGGAAAGAAAATTGGCATGATATTAAGTAAAGTAAGCCAGATGCAGACTAATAGCATGTGTTTTCTCTTATATGTGGAACCTGGGTTTTACATGTGCCTGTATGTATGTATGACATGAAAACGAAAGGGGAATGTTTGGGCAGAGAGAAAGTGGAAAGCAGGAGGGAAGGTCAGGAGAAGGTGATGGAGAATGAATAAGGTCGAAATACATGATGATATGTGACACAAAAATAGAACCAGGAATCCCACCACTTTGTACAGTGAATACACACTGTGATAGATAATTTTGGTGGTCATCTTAACATACCAGGGAAGAGGGAGTCTCTATTGAGGTATTGCCTCCATCAGATTGGCCTGTGGGCCTGTCTGTGGGGCATTTTCTTAATTGCAATTGCCCTAAATTGCATAAATTATTAAGAAAAATTTGGGCTGGAGAGATGGTTCAGTGGTTAAAAGTATGGTTGCTCTTCCAAAGGACCCAGGCTCTGTTCCCAGCACCTACATGGTAGCTCACAACTGTCTATAACTTCAGAGGCATTGGCCGCATGTGGTGCATTTACATACATGGAGGCAAAACAGTCCCATGCATATAAAATAAAAAATCTAAAATATTTAATGAAAATGAAAAAAATTAAGAAGGGTGGGGTGGGGTAGTACGCAACTGTAACCCCAACATTTGGGAGATGGAGGCAGGAAGATCAGGGTTCAAGGTCATCCTCAGCTACATGGAGAGTTCTAGATCAGCCTGAGCCACATGAAACCCTGTCTCAAAAAAAAAAGGAAGGGAGAGACAAAAGGAGGGAGAAAGGGAAGGAAGGAAGGGAAGGAGGGCAGAAGGAAGGAAGGAAGGAAGGAAGGAAGGAAGGAAGGAAGGAAGGAAAATTTAAGTGTCCTGGGTGACTAGAAATCGCACAGCCCACGGAACCAAGTGAAGACTTTGTGAATGGGTAAATGGAAGTCAGACATGATTGGAGCAAGAGGAGCTTCTCAAAGTAACAGACGTAATCAGTTACCCATGTACGAAGCTGGCTCCTCCCCTTCTCCATATAGACATGGTTCACTGGTATGGATTTTCCAGTTTTCCCAAGTCCCTCTCCTCTAGCTAAAAGAGACAGGACTGACGATGGACACAGAACTTGGGAGAACTAAATACACATTGACCTAGCTGGCAGAG